TATACAGGGTGGTGTTTTTAAGTGGACCATTAGAAGTATCTCAGGAACGGTTTGGAATTTCGATTGAACCCATTATCTTTTTTGAATAATTGATTAAAAGGAATCATTTAAAAATATTTTCAAGATGGCCGCTTTTCCAGTTGTACCCGAACGATACCGAACTTTCTTATTTCAAACGGCACTATCTTTTCTGATGGCATTTTCAAATTTCTTATAAAAAATCATGACTTTGTCAGTATGATGGTATGTCTAACTGGCATGGTTTTGAAGTTATTTGACATTTTTTCACTGTTTCAGAGGTTCAGTAAATTAGCCATATCACTGTTGTCTGACAACTTAGGAAATAGCTTTTATTATCACCAATCGCCAGCTAAAAGTTCAGGCTATCAATTGGTCGGATTTTCAAGTGCGAATCGAAAATAATATGAATAAGAGTTCAAATAGACAATCGGTTTATCGTCAAAAACTCGATATTTTCAGTAGTAATAGCATAAGGGCATCTAATTTTTCCGAAAAAATCGAAAAAACACGCTGCTAAGTAATATTTTAACAAGAAGCATGCTGGTGGCAACAAAAATCCGAGTCGAAGACGAGGATTTTTGCAGCTGCACGAATGCATTTTGTTAACAAAATATTACTTTGCATTGTGTTTTTTCAATTTTTTACACAGCAAAAATTTGATGCCCGAATGGTATTTGACAAGACTATTTCATCAGTAATGTCAAAGGTAATGTAATTTTTGGTGACAACAGCTGTCAAGTTTTGCCGCGGGTAATCTCGAAAAAACTACTGACAGGTGCTGTCATTCGGTTTTTCCATCTAGAAACCATGTGCAATTCAAAATTGCGCGTTTGTGATTGGTCGAAAGTAAGACGAGAGAAATAGTCAAATGGAAACCATATCTTTATTATGCAGCAATGGAAAGACCATTAAAAAAACAGACAAAAAATGTATAGACGTCACCGATTCAGTTGTTTCATTTTGATTCGTGTACTGTTTTGTTGAATTTTCATAAAATGAGTAATTATGACGTCTTTATGACACTCAAATGTTCAACTGTTTTGAGTGATTTTATTGATGACATCTAGATTTATGAGGTGGATAGAATGAAGTTCTGATTTTGCTATTTGAAAATTTTTTATTTTTGACGAATAAATTGAAAACTGACCACTTTAGAAAAATTTTGCAAATACATTTTTTGTCCGCTTTTTTATGGTCTTTCCATTGATGCATAATAAAGTTTCCATTTGAAAATATCGAGTTTTTGACGATAAACCGATTGTCTACTTTGAACTCTTGTTCGCATTATTTTCGATTCGCATTTGAAAATCCGACCAATAACATTTGATAGCCTGAACTTTTAGCTGTCGATTGGTGATAAAAGCATTTTGCTAAGTTGTCAGACAACAGTGATATGGCTAATTTACGGAACCTCTGAAACACTGAAAAAATATCAAATAACTTCAAAACCATGCCAGTTAGACATACCATCATATTGACAAAGTCATTCTGATTTTTTATGAGGAATTATGAGATAGTGCCAATTGAAATAAGAAAGTTCCGGTATCGTTCGGGTACAACCCGAAAACCGGCCATCTTGAAAATATTTTAAAATGATTCCTTTTGATCGATTATTCAAAAAAGATAATGGGTCGAATCGAAATTCCAAACCGTTCCTGAGATACTTCTAATGGTCCACTTAAAAACACCACCCTGTAAATACTATTTTGCGAGCTATTTTGTTATTTAACATTATTCATTTCAGGCCTTGCAAAACTTATTAATTCGCGTAGGAGCTACACAGATTATCACAGAATATGAAACAAAGAAACTTTTAACAAGAGGAAACCGAAGATTGTTAGTGAACGTGATTGTGTTAGATATTATAGAAAAATACGGCCAACAACCTTTAAAATATATAAAGACTATGTATGCTAAAGCTATTATCGACCTCTTCCCGAATTTGAGAGATCCATGCAGCAAATATGGCTATGTCAGTTGAAATCTATGATTTTGCTTTTTGCATGCTATTGCTATCTAAATTACTTATTGTAAAAAATATAAATAACTTCCAATTTTCTTATAGGAAGCATTTTATAACCCCGACGAGCGATCTGGGTACATAGATTGGCGTTTGAGAACTGTCAGAAGATCTTCAAAAGAAAACAGGCCAGAAATACCACAGAAAAAACCAAAACTGAATGTTGAAGAGATAAACCTTGATAATTTCCAAGAGGACATTGACTATTTAAAACACACCCATCCTAAAGATCCGGACCTAATAGAGAAGTTCAAAGCGACATTTTTGGCTAGACGAAAACTTTGCAACGAGACTAACATCTTTCAAGAATTTCCTAGGTTTTTAGACACTCCTGGACTGGTTAGTATTATATATCAATATGTTTGATAAATGCCCACTGTACTAACACCCTTTGTATCTGAAATAATTCTCGATTAATTTTTTAGATATCTTTGGATTTTGGATTGCTGTATCCCAACAATGACTGCATTAATCTGGAGTTGCAAATTTTGAATATATCGGAAAAAGTTAAAAATATTTATTGCAATGAGATAAACTCCGACAATGAATACCTAAATCAATTTGACGTCACAACTAAAACTTTGTTTATGTTGATCAAGTTGTTGCCAGCTACATCCAAGGGACGCAAAAAGGCGGTGAACAGGGAATCACTGCCAGAAATTAGTAAAAGGCTTATTGTATTTAAAAAGGTAAAGAACTAAGCAACCCTTTTCTTTGTTACGC